GTGAGTTTCACGAAGATGTTGTGACATGGGCGGATCAGCTCTCGGTCTAATGGGTTGTTAATTTCCGAGGTCTTATGAACAAACTTGTAACCCCTACGAGCGACCTATGCGCTAGGCACTGTCACTGAATTCAGTCAGGGCGTATCCGCGGACGGCTTTAGCGCGATGCTAGCCAGTTTTCGCTCGCGTTTCTGATCGTTGCTGCTTCGGGTGTTCAATGAGTGGTAGGCAAAGAAAACCTATGCCCCGCTGACATCCTTCGACTCTTCACTGATAGCTACAGTAACTAGCTCGCGCAAGATATTTTCCATCCTATTTCTACGTTGCAAAGCAACCCAGATAAAGCCAAAGCGGGTAAGTTAAGTACTTCCTAGGATAATCACGGCTCGGCTTCAACCCTTCCGGGCTCCCAGGAAGGCGAATCGGGTGAAAGTGAAGTGTTTAACAACCTTGTGAACAACTGTAGGAAAAACCTATCAGTATAAAGGGAAAAGACCGAGGCATGTGGAGAGCTCTCCAGATAGGCTTGCTATTTAGTATTTCAGCCAATGCCACTCTATTTGAACTGTTATCAAAGGTCAAGTATCTCAACCAACTCACCGATTTACATACGCAGAGTATGTACGGGCAGCTTGGTGCATGATTCTTCAGGATCACTTTCTCGCCATGACCTTCGCATTTTCGACAATACAGGATTCGTGTCTTGACCGGCGTCGGCATCGGAGACGTTGACGGTGCACCGAGTTCTGGCGACGAACTGTCTAGAGTAATGACAATTGGCGGCAGCATTTGATCACTCGGTGTCATTGCAGGTGACAGTTTCTGTAATCACAGCATCATAAGAAAAGACACACTTTCCGGTACTACTGATAGGCGTTTACGAAGGGGCAAAAACTGTGGTAAAATGACGAGGAACACGAAAATGAAGTTCTTGAACAACACCTAATAATAGTGGCTAAAAGGCGAGAAAAAGAAAGAAAAGCGAAAAAGTAAGAAAAACAGTGCATAAGCCAAGAGACTCTGAGGACAGGGCACATGATTGTTTGGTGTGAAAGTCGAAATGCACCCCCCCCCCCTTCTTCCGAACTTCCTCCTCTGGCACGGTACTCCCTCCCTATCTTAGCTACCATATAGTCAACCTTTTCCAGCTTACTGAAGCCTTCCCAGCTTCCCCCCCCAACTAAATTTCCCAATTTTCTCCAGCAATTTTGCGTAAGACATGATTTTACTACAAATAGGTGGCGCTGCCCAACTGGTTCTAAACTGGTTCAAGGGCAAGAAACAGTAAGAGAGAGTACCCAGGATTACTCCCT